TATTCCTGATCCTTGGAAAAATGCTTATTTACTGTCCCTGTAACCTTCTGTCACAAAATAGTGAATTATTTTTAAATGCTTCCTTCCTCTTTTAAAGAGTTGCAGGACACAAGCTAGTGCAGAATTCCTGCCTGCTCTTTATATTGTCGTTAAAAATAATGGTAATAGAAGGCTCTTAATTTAAGACCATCACTCTGTGGGGGATATAGAAGGGAGAGCCAAGATAGTCTAGTAAACATTCCTTGCTAAACTTCCCAGAACATCCTGAACTGAGTGCAGAGGAGTAAATGACAGAGGAAAACAGTGCCTGTGCTTTTACTAGCCAAATATTTGTACTGCCCATGTGTTCACCAGCCTTATCACGTGCACCATGTTCAAAGGAAAAATACAGGATGTCCTTATTTACTATTTACCAGAGAAAAAACATAGTGAAAGAAAACTGCAGGGGAATATAGACAACTGGAGCAAAGGAGAATTGGTAAAGGAGCGTGAAATAACCTTATCTGGAGCCATGTGCTGGAAAAATGTGGATCACTGTAGTATTGTGCTGGTCTGTTATCCATACTGTGCTCTAACACAAAGAGTATGTTGCTGTTCCTGGGCTGCAGTGGAGCTACATTGTTCAAGGAATTGCATTTAAAAGAAATAATTTGGGAGAAGGAAAGAGATGATATCCACATAGAAATGGTGCAAAGCAGGGAACTCTGAACCCTGAGCTCTGAGAGTCTCATAGTTTACTCATAGCTTCCAGACTGCAGTCTGACTTTGCACAAAATGTTGGGTGGAAGTTGTCAAGCATATTCAGATTCGCCCATACAAACTTCAAGGGCAATTTGACTGAACCCCTCTGTACATGTATGAACACATAGCTTGAGGTTAAACCTGTACCTTCATCCACATAGTGAAGCAAAGCCTTCTGATAAAGACAGGCTAATGTTTGTGAGTGCTAAAGAGAACAGTGCATGTTTCTGGGAATGAAGTAGAGAAATTCCCCAAACTAATAATAAATAGTAAATAATAATAAAAAATATGTATTGATCTCAATTTCTTTTCATAAGACGACTGTGAACTCAAAATAGAATTTCTCTGTTATTCGATGATGATAAAAATAACTCTGGCTCCCTTGTTTAAAAATAAATGTTTTGCTTGTCTTGTAGTCCTGTGAAAATCTCATTCAATCTGTAGTGGAAGCCCAGCTGGTTAACTAGTAGAAGGAAAAGCAAAGTGGCATAAAATACTTTAAACCAAGGAATTTAGACCAAAATATTTTCTGCCAGAATACTGGTTCTTGAATTTTAAATCTAGAAAGAATATAAAGGTTAAGTGGTCAGATGCTATATGCAACAGTCAGTTCAGCAATCTGCTGGTAAAATTCCCCAGAGGCTGCATATTACACTGGATGTCTTTTCTAGAAGGAAGTTCCTGAATTTCCAGGCTCTGATCTGATGGAGAAATTTTTGTGGTCCATGGTAATGTGTTACAGTTGTTAATTACTCTAGCTACTAAAAACATACAAGTTATTTCTAGTCTGAGCTCTGATTTACAACAGCCAGCAAATGTCTCCAATGGATTTAGAAGCCTTAAGGAACTAATTTTTCTGTTAGTCATCCTGCAACCACACTGGGTAAATATTATTTCACATAAAGTGTGACTTCAGTTAACTCTCTGACTGCATTTAACTCCTAAACTTCATGCAGCTCCATAGCTCATGTGGCTGGATCAGGTGGTAGAGAGGGATATAGAAGAGTGAGAAAGAATCTTGGCACAGAGAAATGCCGAATTTCCACTCTTTGGAGGTCCCATGTGGTAGCAACAATGGTCTTAGCAGCAGGAAGCAGCTGCCATGTATGACTCTCAAAATAAATCTTGATGTGGTGCTGTGCAGCTAAAAGGCATCTTCTCTGCCATCATGAGCAGTCTGTGCCTGCAGGATAATGGTCTCCACACAGCCTCCAAATGATGTCCTGGAAAGGAGCTTCCATTTCTTATGCAGGTAAAATTCCTCCTGTCTTCCAGGAGGATTTAATTGAGTAACTTATGGACAGGGCATACTATGACATGTAAATCTGCCAGTATGGGCTGCGTGTGCAGTAAGGGTAGAAGATCTTGGAATGGTTTAGGTTGTAAGGGACCTTAAAGCTCATCCAGTTCCAACCCCTGCCACGAGCAGGGACACCTTCCACTAGAGCAGCTTGCTCCAAGCCCCATCCAACCTGGCCTTGAACACTGCCAAGGATGAGGCAGCCACAGCTTCTCTGGGCAACCTGTGCCAGCACCTCAGCACCCTCACAGGGAAGAGCTTTTTTCTAATGTCTAATCTCAATCTCGCCTCTGGCAGGTTAAAACCATTCAACCTTGTCCTGTCCTACCTGCCCTTGTCAAAAGCCCCTCTCCAGCTTTCTCATCAGACCTGGTTGCTGCCCAAAGTTCTCTCCTTAAGGAGCCTTCTCTTCTCCAGGCTGTACAAGCCCAGCTCTCTCAACCTGCCTCCGTAGCAGAGGTGCTCCAGCCCTCCTGTCATGCAGTTATCATGGAGTGATGCGTTCCACTAAACTCATGTCTAAATACAAAAGGGAGCTGATGTATTGCTATAGAAAAGTTGTGGCTGCTTAGAATGATCTGGTGTCCCCTGTGCTGAAGTCCATCACCAGAAGTCAGGCCTTTCTCTGCAAAACAAAGCCACCCAATTGCCCCAGGGTAAAATGTGAACTAGGTAAAGATGGTGATGAAAGGTGGGTATTTTGTCTTTTGAGGTTTTGGGAGTGTTTTGGTTTGTTTTGTTTTGGTTTTGTTGGGATTTTGTTCATTGGTTGCTCTTTGCTGTTGTGTTTGCTAGGCCACTGCAGAAGGCTTCGGTCTCCTTTCCCACAGTATAAACGATGAGAACAGGTACGTCCAGCTAAATAGTGGCAAAGAACCACCAAGAGCCACAACATCTTGACTCACTCGAACATTTGCCATGGGGACACTGGTCGATGATTGCAGATGGGTGTTTTGCACAAAGATGATGTGGGAACTGCTAAAGCATCTCCTGCAGAGACCTTTCCCAGCAGACAGCTTCTGAACTTTATTCCTCACCTTATCACTATTTATTGCAACTAGGAGGAAGCTGAATGCTTTCAACTGAGCACTCTCCAGCTTCCTTCAAAAATCAGAATTACTTGAAATCATAGTGTTTGGTGGTTACTCTTGACAAGCTCTAAACACAGTTAATGTTTCAAAACGCCATAAAGAGTTTTATGTACATCCTAACAGTGCTACAACCACTATAAGCAAAATGTTGGATTTATGAAAATGATGGTGTGATTTAAAAACTAGCTCTTTTTTTTTTTTTTTTTGCTTTGGAACAAGGTTTGAAACGCAACATTTCCCTTTGCATGGGAATCTGTTCACATTGCACCTAAATTCAAAGGAATAGTGAATTCAGCTGAAACATTTGCCTGGTTATACGAAGGAAAACAAGTCTTGTAGATGGCATCAGCTATACTGAGCACCTTTGTTAAAGAAATAACCTAACATACTAATGTAATTATTAAATATTTGAGGGTGCTAAGGCACTGGCACAGGGTGCCCAGAGAAGCTGTGGCTGCCTGTCCTGGGTTCAGCAGTAGCAGTCATTTATTTCTCCTTCTTAGTAGCTGGTGCAGCACTGTGTTTCTGACTTTCAGCCTGGGAACAGTGCTGATAACACCGATGTTTTTAGTTACTGCTCAAATGTTTGGTCTGGCCAAGGACTTTGTGAGCCTCATGCTCTGCCAGGGAGGAGGGGAAGCCGGGAGGAAGCAGACAGGACACCTGACCCAAACTGACCAAAGAGGTATTCCATACCACAGCATGTCATGCCCAGGAGGTAACTGGGAGTTAGCCGGAAGGGCTGGGACTGCGGGGTTGGGCTACGTGTCAGTTGATGCTCGGAGGGGCTGGAGGGGGCGAGCTATCGGTCGGCGGCTGGTGAGGTGCTGTATTCTCTTCCCTTGTTATTTCCCTTATCGTTACTGGTGGCAGCAGCAGTGATTTGTTATACCTTAGTTACTGGCCTGTTCTTATCTCAACCCGTGGGAGTTGCATTCTTTTGATTCTCCTCCCCATCCCTCCGGGAGTGGGGGAAGGGAAGGAAAAGGGGGGGAGTGAGAGAGCGACTGCATGATGCATGGCTGACTGGGTTTAAACCACGACACTGCCCCATCCCTGGCAGTGTTCGAGGCCAGGTTGGACACAGGGGCTTGGAGCCACCTGCCCTAGCGGAAGGTGTCCCTGCCCATGGCAGGGTTTGGGACTGGATGAGCTTTAAGCCCCTTTCCAACCCAAACCACTGCCGCCCACACACGTTCCAGAGCCTCCACCACAGGAACCCCCCTCCCCGCTCCCATTGCCGCGCGGTGCACGCCGGGAGCTCAGTCCATTTCCCGCCCCTCGGTCGGATCCCGCCGCCGCCATCGGACTGCGGCTCCCGGCGTGCCCCGCGCGGGACGCGCCTGCGCGGCCAGGGCTCCTCGGACAAAAACCTCCCCCTCCGGCTGCGTTCCCCTTACCGGAGCGGCGCTGGGCTCAGCCCCCGACCGTGAGGGAGAAGAGCAGGGCCGTGTGGCGGCCGGACCCATCGCCGCCGCTGAGAGCCCGCGGGGAAACCGCCTCCCAGGAGGACTTGGGAGCCCGGCGGTGGGTGAGTGGGAGGGCGGGACCGGGCCCCGCCGGTACCAGGCGGGAGGGGAACGGCACCGTTATACCGCGGGTCGCTGAGGGAAGGCCTCCCCCTCCCTCAGCGCGGTGGGGCCGCATCCCCCGTGGGGCTCTGGCTGTGTGGGTGGGAAATGGCGGGGCGCGGTATGTAAAGGGCTCTGTGGGCCCTTCCTCACACCTTCCTGAGGGGTGGCGGTGGGGCCTGCACCGGGGCCCCGCACCCTCCCAGGTCGGGAAGCGGCTCGTTGCGCACCGCGGTGCCGGGTACCCCACCAGGGATGGTACCCCATGCGCGCCTGGGACCAGGACCGAGCCCCTTGTGTGAGCCGCTGCCCGAGCCCTGGGGTGGGGGTGCCGGGCAGCTCATGTGAGGAGTTCCTGCAGTCGCATGCAGCTCGCGGGAGGATTTTATTGATTCTTTTATGTTGAAACCTAGAGGCCTTTAGGGCTTCTTTTCCCCCCTTCTATATACCAGGCACCCGAGTCTTACCCCGTAGGTGGCTGCTCTGCACATAAGCCGCTGTCAAAGGGAGCAGGTTACCTGGGGGGAATCAGAATCAGCTCGGTTGGAAAAGACCTTTAAGACCAGCAAGTCCAAGCTTTACCCCAGCACTGCCAAGGCCACCAGTAAGCCACGTTGTTGAGGGCCTCATCTACGCAGTTCGTGAGCCCTTCCAGGGATGGTGACTCCCTGGGCAGCCTGTTCCGATGCCTGACCACCCTTTCATTGAAGACGTTTTTCTTAATATTTAGCCTAAGGGGCAGGAGAACTCGGCAGAGAGACCCAGAGGGTGCTCCTGCACACTGGCTCCTTGAGGCTGGAGTTCATTCAGGGTGGGTTTTTGTGCAGCAATGTCTCTGTTCCAAAGGACCTGCCTACCCAGCAGCAGAGAGTTGTTATAGAAGCCTATCGACCTGATGTTTAAGGGAGGTCAGTGTAAAGTCATACACCTGTCTGGATGTGTAACATGATCCGCCTCTCTTGGATTAATGACAGAGTTTTTAGTTATCATGTTTTGGGTATCATCTGTTGTGTTTCTAGTTCTTTAATTGCAGGCTTAGTGTATAAGTTACTTGAGAGAAACATCCACATGGTGACTGTTTAATGAGTGCAACCACCCCCTTGTAAGCTAATTGTGTAGTTGAGGAGTTGTCAGTGCGTGCGAATCTTTGGGTTAAGAGCTTGCAATAAAGCGCAACTCTTAGACTCTGTTTATAAACATGTCTAGGTTTTTTTTTCTACTTGCCTAACTTGAACTGTGCAATTAAAATAACCCCTATGAAACTTGTTAAAGGATAAACAAAAGTAAAGGCTTATAAATCCATTAGGTAAATTAGATGATATAAAAGTTTGTCCCTACCATATGGACTGGTAAGAGGCTACAGTCACTTCTTTGTCTTGTCAATCAGCACATAAGAACCTTTTCATAGAAGTTTCATTGAAACTCATGTTCCTCTGTGTCCTGGGTTCAGCAGTAGCAGTCATTTTTCTCTTTCTTAGTAGCTGGTGCAGTGCTGTGTTTTTGACTTTCAGCCTGGGAACAGCACTGATAACACCAATTGTTTTAGTTGTTGCTAAGTAATGTTTACTCTGACCAAGGACTTTGTGAGTCTCATGCTCTGCCAGGGAGGAGGGGAAGCTGGGAGGAAGCAGAGACAGGACACCTGACCCAAACTAGCCAAAGAGATATTCTATACCACAGCACGTCATGCCCAGGATGTAGAACTGGGGGCAGTTACCCGGAAGGGCTGGGTCACTGCTCAGTCAGGCTGGATATCGGTCGGCGGGTGGTGAGGTGTTGTATTCTCTTCCCTTGTTACTTCATCATTATTGTTATTGGTGGTAGTAGCAGTGGTTTGTGTTATACCTTAGTGTCCTGGGTTCAGCAGTAGCAGTCATGTTTCTCCTTCATGGTAGCTGGTGCAGTGCTGTGTTTTGACTTCCAGCCTGGGAACAGTGTTGGTGATACTGATGTTTTCGGTTGTTGCTAAGTAATGTTTACCCTGACCAAGGACTTTGTGAGGCTCATGCTCTGCCAGGGAGGAGGGGAAGCCGTGAGGAAGCAGAGACGGGGCGCCTGACGCAGGCTAGCCAAAGAGGTATTCCATACCACAGCACGTCATGCCCGGGGTGGGGGGTAACTGGGAGTTACCCAGAAGGACACGGGCTTCCGGGTGGGACTCGTTTCTTGACTGGTGGTATTGTATTCTCTTCCCTTGTTATTTTCTCTTATCATTGCTGTCGGTGGTGGTAGTGGTGGTGATTTGTGTTGTACATTGTTTGCTGGACTGTTCTTGTCTCAACCCGTGGGAGTTGCACTCTTTCGATCCTCCTCCCCGTTCCTCTGGGAGTGGGGAAGGGGAGAGCTCCGGGGGGTGGGGTGGTGGGCCTAGACTGCTTCCAGCCCGGCGCCACTCACTGGGAGTGAGTGAACAAGCTGTCTGGCTAGGGTTTAAACCACAACAGTTCTTTTGGTGCCCAGCGTGGGGCACGAGGGGTTGAGACGAGAACAGTCCAGCAACCAATGTACAACACTGTCCTGGGTTCAGCAGTAGCAGTCATGTTTTTCCTTTGTGTTAGCTGGTGCAGTGCTGTGTTTTGACTTCCAGCCTGGGGATAGTGTTGGTGAAGCCGATGTTTTCGGTTGTTGCTAAGTGATGTTTACCCTGACCAAGGACTTTGTGAGGCTCATGCTCTGTCAGGGAGGAGGGGAAGCTGTGAGGAAGCAGAGATGGGGCACCTGACCCGGGCTAGCCGGCGAGGTATTCCATACCACAGCACGTCATGCCCGGGGTGGGGGGTAACTGGGAGTTACCCGGAAGGACATGGGCTTCTGGGTGGAACTCGTTTTCTTGGCCAGTGGTATCGTATTCTCTTCCCTTGTTATTTTCCCTTATCATTGTTGTAGTTGATAGTAGCAGTGGTGATTTGTGTTGTACATTGTTTGCTGGACTGTTCTTGTCTCAACCCGTGGGAGTTGCACTCTTTTGATCCTCCTCCCCGTTCCTTCGGGAGCAGGGAAGGGGAGAGCCCCGGTGCGGGGGGGGGCGGGACACGGACCTCGATTGTCGTCAGCTCGGCACCACTCACTGGGAGTGAGTGAATAAGTTACCTGACTGGGTTTAAAACACGACAAACACAAATCACGCCCGCTACCACCAACGACAACAATGATAAGAGAAAATAACAAGGGAAGAGAATATGATACCACTGGCCAAGAAACCAGTCCCACCCGGAAGCCCGTGTCCTTCCGGGTAACTCCCAGTTACTGGACTGTTCTTATCTCAACCCGTGGGAGTTAACATTCTTTCAATTCTCCTCCCCATCCCTCCGGGAGCAAGGTTTGGGAGGAAAGCAGGGGGGGAGTGAGCGAGGGCTGTGTGGCTGAGTTGCGAACTGGGCTTAAACCACGACACTCTGTAAGACTGAGTTTGTCATTGTCCTGGTTTTGGCTGTGCCCTGGGTTCAGCAGTAGCAGTCAATTTTTCTCCTTGGTAGCTAATGCAGCGCTGTGTTTTGACTTGCAGCCTGGGAACAGTGCTGATAATGCCAATGTTTTCAGTTGTTGCTAAGTAATGTTTACCCTGACCAAGGACTTTGTGAGGCTCATGCTCTGCTAGGGAGGAGGGGAAGCCGAGAGGAGGCAGAGACAGGCCACGTGACCCAAGCTAGCCAAAGAGGTATTCCATACCACAGCACGTCATGCCCAGTGTGGGGGGTAACTGGGAGTTACCCAGAAAGACACAGGGTCTTCTGTGTCGGACTCGTTTCCCAGCAGGTGGTATTGTATTCTCTTCCCTTGTTATTTTCTCTTATCATTGCTGTCGGTGGTGGTAGCGGGGGTGATTTGTGTTGTACATTGTTTGCTGGACTGTTCTTGTCTCAACCCGTGGGAGTTGCATTCTTTCGATTCTCCTCCCCATCCCTCCAGGAGTTGGGGAAGGGGAGAGCTGTGGGGGAGGGGGTGGGGTGGTGGGCCTAGACTGCTTCCAGCCTGGCGCCACTCACTGGGAGTGAGTGAATGAGCTGTCTGGCTAGGTTTAAACCACGACAGGCTGGGATAGTGTTAATTTTATTCCTAGTAGCTGTCATAGTGCTCTGGTTTGGCTTTAGTCTGAGAACAATGCTGATAAGCAGTGCTTATCCTAATCAAGGACTTTCCAGTCTCTCATGCTCTGCCAGTGAGGAGAAACACAGGAAAGTAGGAGGGATCATAGCCAGGGTACCTGACCTGAACTAGCCAAAGGGATATTCCATACTATAGGACATCATGCCCAGTATGTAAACTGGGGGAGTTGTCCAGGAGGGCTTATCACTTCCTGAGGATGGGCTGGGCGTCAGTCAGCAGGTGGTGAGCAATTGTACTGTGCAGAGCAAAGTTTATTCCTTCATTTCTCTCTCTTTATTTTCTATAGTTATTGTTGTTATATTGTTGTATCTTCAGTTATTGAACTGTTCTTTTCTCAGCCCTTAGGCTTTTACTTTTTTTTTTTCTGATTCTCTTCCCTATCCTACTGGGGAATGGGGGAAAGCAAGTGAGCAGCTCTGTGGTACTTAGTTGCCAGCTGGGCTTAAACCATGACAGCAATTTTCTGACAGAAAGTTGCTGACACATTCCCAAACTCTTGCTTATGGGATTGACTTTTATTTCTGGTCTGGGGTCCTGGGTGGAGAGAGACTTCTAATAAGATTGACATAAATGCTTTAGTTCTTAGAAGAACATGTGTAATAGATTCCATGAAAATCACTGTTCTGGTTCATTTGGTTAAATACAGTACTAGGAACAAGGGAGAAGATGCAGAATGAATTAAGTGACCAGATAGAGGAGCCTGATTACTTCTGTACCATGATTGGGTAATGAGTTTCACAGGTTTCCCAGGGTGGTTGGATGCATGCTAAGCTGGGCAGGAGCACACCAGCGTGGGCACAGGGTAGTTCACTGCATGAAGCTACTGTCTAAGGTGTATGCTTCAGTCAGTATGTAGCTGGCATCTGGATGATTCTTTCTCAAGGTGTTTGAACACAAATGGATGTTCATTATCAGTTTAGCTCTTTGTGGGAACTCCAGAGAAATTGAAGGCGTTTTGTTTGCTCTTAAATGAGTTTGTCCCTTTTGATCCCTGTGACCGTTGCAGTATGACATAGAGATCCAAAGGACCAGCTCGCACTAGCAAGGATGACAATTTCTCACTCTGGAAAATGTGCTAGCACCAATTTGTTCTATTTAAATAAATACAAATGAAGTTTAGACTAACTCACTTCTTGGATATTATGTGTAAGTCTTGATGGGCAGGAACTAAGGTAATTGTTACTCAACACGATCATCATGTTGACTAAGTAGATGTAGTTACACTGGTAAAGACAAA